CGTGGGCTATATGCATAAAGATACCCATGTACTTTACATGAGGGATAATTATATCTTTAATATCCGAACTTTCATTTTTTTTTCTATTTTTATGTCTTAAAGAAAACAATAATAATCAAATGCTTAAACTTTTAAATTTTACAATTGGATATCTCCAAGTGATATGGGCAATCGGAAATTTATTTACAGGTGTGGATCTACTTTTAAATACACGACAGCTAACTTGGTGAAAAAGAGTTGAATTTTTTTTGCCAAATAAACCGATCGATGTTGATGTGAAAATTGTGAAGAATTTCAATTTTAATCTCTATTTAACGTTTTCACCTACCTCCACCTCTTTCTTTTGTTAGGGTAAAACGAAAGGACACAAACATTTCCACGTCTGCTTCAACTTCTATAGCCAATAAGCTTAGGTTTTATTTATTTATTTATTTTTTTTTGAAGAAACAATAAGCTTAGGGTTTGATTGGCTACTTCCCATCTTGAAGATTTGCATTAATGCATCGATAAAACATTTTTTTTGTCGTTAACTCAATTCGTCAATAAGCTTACCCATCTTGAAGATTTGCACGAATGCGTCGATGATTGTAAAATTAAAAATTTAGACACTAAAGACTTAATTATTCCCTTTATACAAAAACATGTTATAGTAGTTTAAACTTTGAAAAGGACCTATTGTACCTTTAAAGTTAAGAATTTTGGTAATTTCTCATGTCTCTACCCGGTTGCAATAGTACTTTTTTAGTTTTCTTTAGGTTTATGTGGTTAGCCTAACGCTGGTCTTTGGGTTGATGGATTAGCTCAGGAATTATGCACATTGCCTATTTGCATATGGTCGAAATAAGCAGCAGAGCCGCCTGTTCTCCCTTCCCTCAAACACAAACCTTAGAGGTCTGTTTAGCTGGGGGAATGGGATCTACCATGTGGAAAGCCAGCCAATCATTTTATTTCTTTAATAAATAATTTGTAAATCCAAAATTATTGGTAAATAATCATTTTTCTTTCTAATATGAACTCTATTTTAGTATGATCAATTTGAAAAATTTTGACTCCAAGATTTGAAAAAGAAGTACTGCAATATTGTTAAATAATGTGCGCATAAAGTACTTTCATTTGATTCAAATGCCAAGATTTTGAAAATAAAAATTCAAGGCATTTTTAATTCTTGACTTGTTCCAATATAAGTTTCTTAATTTTATAAGGTTGGCCTTGACCATCAATTGGAATAGCTTGATCATGTCCGAACATAAAAATTTTTTCAATCTAAGTATCTGAATTATTAAAATGTTGCAATAATAATTACATTTAGCTGGATTATTTTGCCAAAAAAAAAAATTAAAATACACTATTTTACTCAATAAATAATATAAAATATAAACATCAATTCAATTTATTTTTTATTTTTTTTAATTTTTACTATCTTATATTTTCTTTTTTCTAAAAAACTTAAAAACTTATAATTTTCTTTCAATTCAAAGAAAATAATAAAAGAAAAGAGAAAGAAATGAACCGTCTAGAAAAATAATAAAATAAAACAATCATTAAAATAGTTATTTTGACTTTCCGTTAAAATTCCCGTTAAAAACATTTAAGTATCGAAAAGTTATTTATTTTAAATATTTAATTATTAAATTTTCTATTTAGATATGACAAATATGATTCACCATTTAAAGTAATACTATCACTCTCTTTTGAAAGAAATGATTAAAATTAAAAAAAAAAGATTCTTAGAATGCAACATTTGTTTAATTATGGGATTTTATTTATTAAAGTATAGTGGAATATACAATAGAAGGAGTGAAATCTTTGCACCTTAAAAATCGGCTTTACCAAACAAAATGATGGAACTAGATTCTCTTAATCCTTTACCAAACCTAAACCTTGATTATACCGAACATAGTCTTGGCATCAATCTAACATATCCTTTTCTAACTTTCATGCTTGTCTATTTTTATTTTTCTTAATTATGTATTAATTATTACATAGTACTATTTATATGCCTAAAGCTTATTCTTTTGCTCCAACATATAAAGTTTTGTCCTATAAAATACATGTACACGTATATATATTTACAATATTTTCTTTCTTTTTTTTTTTATCCCTTAATAATGAAATATCAAAATGCTCTACAACTCCTAAATAGTAACAAAAATATTATATATGATATTTATATATAAATGCTCTACAAATAATAATACTAATAAAATATTAATTACAAAATGCATTACATTAGTGCATCTTACCCTTCTCAAATGGGTAACAGCAGATGTACTTTTTTTCTTTTATAAATAGTTGTACCTTAAACCGTTGACAGCTATTAAAATAATTAACAGCTACTACAATAATTAATTTAACCAAGTATATTTTTAAATATGTAATTCCATGACCTAAATTATTGAATTGTACTTCTTGATGTATAACCGATATCAAAAGAATAATTGTTAACCCTTCATCTAAAAAGAACAATAATTTAGTATTGATATTTATCTATAGCAATATTCAATCCTCAATTGTAAAATTATGTGATCCCTAGTTTATTGGATTACAATCTTTCAAATTTTAATTTAATTATATTTTGTCCCTAAATTATTAAATTTTGAAATGCTTAATACATCTTTTATTTAAAAAAAAAAACTTAATCCAAAAATCAAATTGAATTTAAAAATGCCGAAAATAGAATGCCCTCACCAATTCATAAAATAATAAATTTTATTCTAACAAATTAAATTTTAAAATTAAAAATTTTGATAACGGTTATCTTCTAGCCAATTTTGATCATTAGCTTTGCTGAGTGGAGCTTATATATTTTGAATGGTAAAATATTAATACTCATGAGATAAAAGCGTTAAAACAGAATGCATCGGCATAAAGCAATAAAGTAAAAATTATGATTGTTTTGTATAAATAAACTGAAATTTAACCACAAATATGAAATGCTTTGCATATTGGATAAGCCTTTATGTTAAATCAAAATTTATACAATTTGAATCATTAAAAAAGAAAAACTCAAACCACTGTCAACCAAGCTAGGCTCTGAAAAACTTTTAGTCATGATTATATTTTTTTAAAATTAGATTTTTTTAATAAAATTATAATATATAATAATCCAAAAAATATTTCTAAATCCACAAATTGGAAATAGATTTGCTTAATCAAATATTTTTTTCCTTGTGATGCTAGTATTAACATAAATTATTTAATAATAAGCTAAAAACAAAGTTTAATTTCATTTATATATATTTTTTCTTTTAATAAAAAAATATTACAGTACGATCTTTATATTTTGTAAAATATAATTAGTTTATTTCTATCTTTTAAGATATATACTAAAATTTTTTGATTAATAAATAAGTCGATCTGAATTTATAAAAGTAGAAGGGGAGAGGGAGACAGGGCATCTGGCTGCACCCCACACACGCACATTAGGAGTAAAGAGTTATAATACAATGTCAGATATACATACACAAGTAAATAAAACCATATCAATAAATGCTAAGTATTAGTCAGAGGATAAAGTAAAGGAATACATAACTTTATTAATTAAGGCCTGCCAAATCCACCCAACCTCACTCCCATTATAGCCTCTCTCTATTTTATTTTTTTAATTTTTTATTACATATTTTAATATCTTTTCCTAATCGAAATGTACTTATGTAATTATAAATAACATTCTACTTTGAATACTTCATTGTAAGAAAAAAAAAATCCTAATGATAATAAGAGTGAATTATTTTATTTTAATTTCTCTTAACCAGAAGAACCTTTTATCAATTTAATAAGAGTGAATTACTCCAGTTTTGGACCTTCCAGTGGACTTTCAAAAAAAAAAAAAAAAAAAAAATGGACCTTCCAGTGGACTTTCCAAAAAAAAAAAAAAAAAAAAAGTTTAAACAGTAAAAAAAAAAAAAAAAAAAAAGTTTAAACAGGTGAAGCATATAAAAATAATTTAATATGTTTAATTAAATGAAAATTGGTCCACTAGAGAGAGGCTATTGTGATGATATAATAATGCTATGACAAAAGTTGCCCGCCACATACTCTTATCAGAGCCTACTAACTATGCCTACGCTACGCCTCGCCTGCCATCCTTAATAGTCTCTCCCTATAAAAATGTCCAATTATTTCACAGCTCAGTCCAAAAATAATAATAATCATAAATGCTTTGTGCATCCTTTAAGCTAGGGTTTAGCATTTATGGGTTGGAATCTAAATCTATTTTCAGACGGTAATGCAATATCAAATTACGTCTTGATGTGTAAAATCAAAGCATTCGACAAAGCTTATTTAGTTCATTTTTTAAATTTAATTATTCAGTTTCAATTATAGTTTTTATATAATTATAAATTAAATAAATTAAACCTATTGAATTGATTCAACCAAATCAAATAATTTAAATTGATTCTAAACATAATTTAAATTTTATTTTTTTTTTAATTTTATTGATCCAATTTAAAATCGAACCAATCGATTTCAAACCCTACTTTAAACCCTGAAAAGGCTGATCGAACGCCTTTACAAATTCTTTGCTTTTTCCATAGAGATCTCTAATAATTCTTTGCTTTTTCCATAGAGAATTATCTTCCATGCATATATTTGCTTTTAAAGTTTACATTAATTAATTTGTGACACTTAAAATTTACGAAGATCTATTATAATCTTGAAACGTCGATGTACAATTATGGTAAATTTTCGCAAATTTTAAAATGTCACAAGAAATCGCGTAATTCCTAAAACGTCAAAAAATGTAAAATTATAATAGATTCCCATAAATTTTATGTAAAATTATGATAGATTTCCGTAAATTTAATAATGACACGAGACAAATCATGTAAATTTTAAAAGTAAATTTATGCATGAAGATGAAAAAGAAAATATCATAACTTTTATTTGAAAATAAGTCCATATTTCTAATTTATACATTAACTAGAAATTAAGAAGCTTCATTTCTCATGTCTGAATAAAGGGTTCCATAGGGTTGCATAAGGCTTTTCAAACAGACATTCGTTCAAGAGAGAAATATCTATTCTTTTTTCAAATAGAAACACACTTTTTGAGTATTTCCTTTTTTCCCATAGGGTTTTCTCCAAATAGAAAACACCTAACATTTTGAGAAACTAAATTTTTTTAAAAAGGAAAAAAAAAATTAATAATAGAGATGAACTTCTAACAAGCTTCACTTTCTTCATCAAAAGAACAAAAGCAAAAGGCACAAGGCTCAGAGTAAAATAAACAAAATAGGCAAACAGATAACAAAAAACTCATAGCCCTCAATTTACTAAATCTTTTCATTTCCACTTTGTTCCCTCTTTTTATCACCACTTCTTTTTTGCATAGAAATGTCTGCTCAGCTCTAGTCATCTTCTAAAGTCCTCTTCCTATTTGCTCCATGTCTCTAAGAACCAGTCCTCAGATTCAAGTCGTTGTGTTAGACAAAGCCCAAAAATCCCATTTCCAATGGGTTAAATACACTACTACTATAAATCAAATCGTCTCGTATCAGCACCGGCTCTATGGCTGCTTAATCTTCAAAGTCCGAGCAGGATGTAGTAAACCAGTGTTATAGGAAGAGCTATTAACATTCCAAATATAACTCTGCAAATCAAGAAGATGAAATAAAGCAATTGAGTATATGTTACAAAGTTCATAAACTGCTTTTATGAAAACTGCTTTTACATAAACAGCCATGATTGCTTATAAAAATTAAAGTAGATCATCTTTATAGGAACACTATAGTATCTAACAAGTAGAATGATCTGTATTTTTAAAACCAAGAAAGAAAAAAGATAATTGTTTAGAAGTAAAATAACAGTAAAGAAAAGAATTGAGAGTTCAAACCCAGTGCTCAATATATCTGGATGAACATTATATTCCTTTGCAAAGACAAAGGGAACAATTCCTTGTGGAAGAGCTGCCTGAAAATCGAAACATAATGAATATTCTGTTATCAAATGAGGGGAAAAGCAGCACAAGCATTCAAGAATGTCAATAACAAACAGTCATTTTATGGAATTTTTGACTGTTTTCAGTATTCCAACCTGCACTATTGCTACATGCAACAGAACTCCGCGTAGGCCTACCGCAATTGAAGCAGCAGCCATTACTGCAGGACCAGTAAGGAATCTAACAGCCATTGCAAAGGACGCGATTGAGTTTCCACAAGCAATGATTCTTGGCTGTAATGCCATGAATAATCCTGCAATTCCATCAACAATTTTCTCCAATAAGCAACGACAAATGCTTCGGTTCTATTAAACATGTAATATATCAAGCAAATAGATCAAGAAAATCAACATACCAAGACTAAACATAGCCATTCCAAGACCTGCATCGGATAGGATAGATATTGAACGAGCAATAATAGCAGGCATCACTATATTCCATCTGCAATAATTTAAACATTTACAAAGAATTTACTAAAATTATTTTAAATTTTGCTTTGAAATGACGTGGGTTATATGGTGAAGCATACTTGAAAGAAACAAGAGACCAAGTAAGGCCAATGAGACTGGAATAAGTATTGGGATTCCTTATAAGTTTTCTCCAAACCATAATAAGAATGAGTCTTGTCATAACACTAGCAGGTGGCATGGCAGTAGGCTTGGGTTCACCATCAACACCAGTCTTGGGGTGGAGCTCTGCTGTGGAGCTTGAACCAAGCTTGGAAAGCACTGGACCCTCACGGTCCACCCCATTTGTCACCGGTCTGTTTCCAAAACTGAACTCATCTCTACCAAACTCGTCGTTATCTAAAACGTCAAGAAAAGCTTGTTACTGTCTAAACAGAGGACTCTGTTTCTATGGAGCAATTTAAACAATCCCATGTATTAGTAATAATCTATACCAAAACATAGAAACAAATAAAAAGGGCTCAACTATAAATTAATGGGAGAGAAAGAGAGAAAAAGACACTGTTTTGATAAAGCAAATGGAAACAAAGACCAAAAAAAAAAAAAAAAAAAAAAAGAACTGTTTTTGATAAAGCAAATGGAAACAAAAGACCAAAAAAAAAAAAAAAAAAAAAAAGGCCATACAAAACAAAACCCACAAACCCCATTGAGCAAGAAGCAAAGAGGTTAAAAAAAAAATATCTCCAACAAAAACTCCATATTCCAACAAGACAAATACAGGTTTTATTACTATCCATAACACTCAACATTCCAGAAAGACAATATAGTACCATTACATGCAGTCACAATCCCAACATGCAAGAAACAATCAGAAATCAAGAAACTCAGACGCAAAATAGTTATATAATGACTTGATTATTAGTGTTTTTTTTACCTTTTCCTGATGTGCTACCCACCAAAATCATTGCATACATCCTCTCTGAAGACATGAATCCACCTTCTGATACTGTGTGAAGGCACAGAACGTCCAAACAACATATGCAGGTCCTTTCCATTATCAGTCCATTTGCTTTTCTTTTTAATCCAGGAGAAATCCTGCATAGGTTGGACTGATAAGCTTCCACATTTGCTCTTGAACGTTACCAAACAATCCAATTCCTCCATTTTCTTTCATCAAACGGCAAGTTCCGAAGTCTGGATTGCCTTGGGCTCACGTTACTTGCATTCTTGCCATAACCATTGATTAAAAATAGTATGGTTTTAAACGTTGGCCCCTTGGGTTGGATTTTCTTGAAGAAAAAAAAAAAAAAAAAAAAAAAGGCACAACAAACAAAACCCAACAAACCCCACTTGAGAAAGAAGCAAAAGAGGTAAAAAAAAGATATCTCCAATCCAAAAACTCCATATTCAACAAGACAAATACAGTTACTTCCAATAAACACAACATTCCAAAAGACAATATACGTACCCAATTACATGCAGTCACAATCCCAACATGCAAGAAACAATCAGAAATCAAGAAACTCAGAAGCAAATATTATATATGATTGATTATTAGTGTTTTTACCTTTCTGATGTGCTACCCCACCAAAATCATTGCCATAATCCCCTCCTCTGAAGACATGAATCCCACCTTCTGATACTGGTGAAGCACTAGAACTCCAAACAAACATATGCAGGTCCTTTCCATTATCAGTCCCATTTGCTTTCTTTTTAACCCCAGGAGAGAAAATCCCTGCATTAGGTGGAGCTGGATAAGCACTTCCACCATTTGCTCTTGAAACGTTACCAAACAATCCAATTCCTCCATTTTCTTCATCAAACGGCAAGTTTCCGAAGTTGGATTGCCTTGGGCTCACGTTACTTGCATTCTTGCCATTAACCATTGAATAAAAATCAGTATGGTTAAAACTTGAGCCTCTTGGGGTTGGATTTCTTGAAGATTGAAGAGAGTATATCTCTGCATTAGTTAGATTAGATGGTCTAGGAGTTAATGAAAGGCCAGAATTTGGACCATGGGATCTACGAGAGAAAATTTCTGATCTTGAGCTAGTTGATTTCCTAACTGTAACGTGAAGCTTCCCATCTTCACCAAGTTCTGCTTCAGTTTGCAATGGCTCTCTTCCGTCTAAAGAAATAATATCAGAATCAACTCTAAAAGATATTATAGAACCAGCAGTATCAGGAAACTGTTCACCAATCAGGATTCTAGCTCCTCTATATTCAAATAGAAAGAGCATCAAAGTATACCATATTATGCACTGGAGGACAACTATTTGAACCATAAGACTTCCCGAAAAATCTCCATACATGCCCTTTAACAAAGGGATGCCCATAACAAGAGTGTTTGGAAGCGTGGAAAGAGAAAAGAGAGTTATTGACCATTCAAGGGAGCCTCTAGAGCTTATTCTTGACCAGACGGCTAAAACAACCAAGACTATGATTTTTTGAAGTGTGTCAGCTGCTATGAACCTGTAGTTCATAGCATATGGATTGTTGGTGGAGATAAAGTGGAAGGAAAGCAAAGGTACTGCAAATATAGCAACAAATCTGTTGATCCCTGAACACTGATCAGGGCTAAAGATTTTCCACCATTTCACAGAACCATAAGCTAAGATCATAGCCACATAAAGAGGAACCACAGCCGTAAGAACATGGTAGAGGTCTGTTAAACTGATCATTTTCTCTCTTTTTCTCTGGTTTTTGGTTTTTGTGGTCTTTATGGGTTTTTGTAGGTTTTAACGAGTAGCCGGACCGAAGAATAAAGTGAATAACAAAACCCAAATGGGATATTTCAGATTATGCAAGAAAAATGTTAGTTTTACAACTTTCCTGCAGTTTCTCGCAGATTTTTCTTCGTCTTCTCTACAATCAAACAGGCAAGAGACACAAAAGATAGCCTTCGAAGAGTTCGTAAATGCACGAAAAATTAACCCATCTGCATACAAACCTTGAAGAGAAGTAAACGATGGAAAGAAAGATACTAAAGAGAGAAAATCAGCGCAAGACAGAAAAAGCAAGAGTTTAGGAGAGATATAGCGTAGAGAAAGAGAAGTGGGGACGAGAAGGAGAAGGAGAAGGAGAGAGCATTATATTTAAGGCATTTTAATGGCAGACAAAGAAATAAAAGCTAGGGGCTTTTGAGAAGCTTTTTTATATCTTTTTGGGCAGAGAGAGATGTTCCTCCAAGGCATGCTACAGTCTGAAGAGGAAAGAGAAAAAGTAAAGAGAGCATAGTTGTGCTTGGACTGTAGAGTGAGAAGGAAATGACCAAACAGCATATATCAGAAACGAAAAGAAAGGTGAGAAAAGGGGCAAAGAGAAAAAGAGAAACAAAAACCAAAACTGTAACCAGAGAGCTTCAAAAAGATTCTTTCACTCTCTTTCCATTTAGTCGTCATTGTTGCTCATAATATATATATCTTTTTGTTTTTCTGTCTCTAGGAAAGAAGAAAGAATTTGTTCAGGGAGTGGAGTGGACCCTCATCCTTTTTATTTTGACTTAATTATATTAAAAAAAAACAACTTTTTTCATTTTTAATATAATAATAATTATTATAATTTGATTACGAATTTTCCTTCTATAATTTGGAGAAAAAAAAAAAAAGTTATCAAAACCTTTCATTCTTTGCATACGTAAAAAAACCAACTAAACTATCACTTAATTACCACATTAAAATTATATTTATGTTGAAAATACTTTTAATTTAATTATGTAAACTTTATATTGAATGCAGTAAATTATTTGATTTTAAATTAATTATATTACTTATTCTAATAGAGTATAGAACGTTGGAGGAATTTCAATCAAAGAATAAAGAAAGGATTAAAGGAATGCTTTACTGCAAAATCTCGAGACAACTTGTATTAATACTGTAATTACAAGCAAAATTGAATAGTCAATACCAGAAATGAAGAAGATAACAAAATGGAAATGGAAAAATGGTTGACGAATCAACTCGTAGGCAAGTGTTTGTAGATACTTAAATTTTACCAGAGTAATTGACTCAGTGATGATAATATTTTTTTTTATCATAAAATAGTTCTGGATATCCGATGGACTTGTTGAACTAATGATTTGAGTTTTAAGATAAGTGAGTTATTAGGTCATTTTTATATTTTCGGATTTCTAGAAATTTCACATCGAAACAAGGTATGGGAAGCGCTTCAAGTGTGCCTGCGATGTGTCCCGATGCACTGTCTCATTTTACATGTTATCCAAACCGTTTTTTATAAAAATTAGCCAGGTCTATTTCGGGGCTATCAATGGCCGATGCCACCTAGGCCCAAAATTAGGGCCTCCTAATCACCCATTTGCCTATAAATAGAACAAAGTTTTAAGGGATTATGGAGGATTTTGGGGATCCTACGGGAAACCTCTTGCAAATTCATACTCAATCTTAAGGTTTAATCTATAAACAAGTTTTATAGCCTAGATCTTAGAGAGTAATCAATTTTTAACAAAACCTCCCTTAGATTTTGTGACCATTTTTCAACAACTCATCTTAATCTATGAATCTCAGATTATTCATCAGGGATTAAAGCTCTTTGGGTGTTTTTGAACATTTGCACTCAATCTTTGAGATTTCTTCAAAACAAGGTAACACCTGAAAGTCCTAAGTTATTTCCTTCATCTTTCTCCTTTTTTTTTTTTTTTGGTGTGAAAAATCACTTTTATTCTTTTGTGGTTGTGAGCGGAACCAGTGATCAACCAAACAGCCCCTGATTATGTGTGTAGTGGCGCACACCACAACTCCATGGCGCACGCCACTACCTTGATAGCCAAACAACTTTAAGCTATTCTTTGGGTTATGGTCTAGGAAAGCCTGCACGCCACAAGAGATATGGCTCATCACATAACAGGTGGCGCATGTGGCTTTAATCCAGAAGCTCAGATTTTACTTTTTAAGCATTTTAATTCATCTCTATGGGACTTTTTTTTAGATCTAACACTAAGCATTATGCTTCTTATAGTGTTTTTGATTCATTTTCGCTCTTATAAACAATAATAACCAAGAAATGGATTGTTATAGTCATATATGTTCATCATTCATAATGAACATCAAATTCTTAAATTCAAATCTTGATTCTAACTTAAATATCTAACCTATTTTACTTACTGTCGTTTATATTTATGCTCTTTAAATTTCAGCAATTTAAGTTTCAAGCTCATTTACATTTATGCACTCTTTATTATATTGTTCTTTATTCATTATTTCACCAATCTCTAGCCTTTTATTTTGTCGGTGTTTATTTCCTTTTCTTTGTTATTGTTTGATTATTTAATGGTCATGCTTTTATTCTATAATTTGATTGATACTGTGATTTATTATGTTATAATTACTTATAATAATATTGTTTATGTATGATTTATTCCTTTTTTTTTTCTTTGATGCTTTATATTATTAACTGGGCGATATGTAAAAGGTTCATAATGAACTCTAATTAATTGCTCATTTGTAATATTTAAGGGATTGAGAAATTTTATTGGGATTTAAGGGTAGAATGTAACTTATAGGTGGATGGTTTGAAACTCTTTTCCCCTTCTCTTTCTTTGTATGATTTTGGTTTTATGTTTTGTTATTATTGTTGATTGTGTATAATGCTTATGAATCTCATATTTTATAAACTACATTAAAATCGACATCATCTCAATTAAAGTTAATTTCAATATATTGTTGTGAATACTCGAAGAGGCCGATTTATGACTACGTGATTCGGGCGCCTAATACATTTCTGAAATTGTACCCAATTTCCTTACCTAGACTTTGGTTAAAATTGAGTTGATCATTTCTTTGATCGGTTCGAGATTTTTTCCTAAAAGATGGTGGCGACTCCAAAATCTTCTCTTACCAGTGTAAGAGCCTGTTTTATTAGATTTTTTTTAATAAAGTCGCCTCTTTGAAGGTGAAAAAGGGTTTAAGAAAAGGAAAACCGCTTTTATAAGTAAAATAAATCTAAGCTAGTTTTTAAGTCCCGATGACGCATCTTTAGTTTGGTGACTCCATTGGGGATCGAATCCAAAATCTTTAGTTTTCTGGTTTTGGGTTCATGAAAGAAGTTAACTCCGATGTTTGTCCTGTTATTCACATCTTAGAATTGTTATTCACTTGCAATTGAGTTTTAATTATGTACATATATATTGGCATTTGTGACATTATTCTCTTCTTAATCTCATTTCTACCCAAAACCCTGAAGATGGTGTTGGGAATGTGGTCCTTTCACTCCACTCGACTGTTAGGATCCGCCACTAATACACACCACCCGTAAGCCCTGTACCTTTTACTATATCAAAAGAGTTAGCACAATCCTTATCACCATTAGCTTAGACCCATAGTTAAATGGGAGGAAATAGCCAATTCTCACTTACGGAACGCAAGACTTACTAACTCGGCTTAAGCTCATGTAATGACCTTAGCACTTTTCCCTAGATCTACCATAATAAAGTATGATGTGTTGTTGTATGATGCATTTATTAATAAATGTGAGAGACGTCAGTCAAAAACCCCATAGTGGTTTATGGGCCTAACCCATCCTAGGATTTTAGTTGGACATTTGACCATGAATTGTATGTGGGAGATATAAGGGTAGAGGTCATATATTTGTCAACTCCCATTCCCTATATCATTTGTATGTATATATTTCATGATTCCTCATGCATCACATAATGTGTTTTTGTTGTCATGGCCCAATCTTGTCGTTCAAAATGTCAAAAGGGAAAAGACCTAAGAAAGATGCTTGATTCAAAGCGAGCTAAAATAGCTCACTCCATTGTTGACATTTCAAATGAGGTCAAAACTCATGATCCAAGAAGGAAGCTCCTTTTGCTTCTTCACTGATGCATATGGATCCAAAAGAAGAGGCTCACCAACTTTTGCTTGAAATTAAGTAAGCTCAACTTGAAGCCATGCTCTCTTCCATGGTGTAGAGACTCATTTCACTCTCATGTGCAACATAGCCAACCGCCTTATGGAAATCAAGCATTTTACTTTAAAGGATGTTAGACTGTATAAAAGCTCTTAGGCTTGAGTTTCAAAAACATTGTAAATACTTAGATAGGGCCTTATTATGCTTATCATTATGTAAAGTCAACTTTTGGGGTAATGTGAAGCTCTTAAATTTATGACCAATATTTTTAGTGTCTTTGGAAAAATAAAGAAAGAAATCTCAATTGTACACAAATAAAAGTCCTTGCTCAAACATCATCACTATTTGAGGCAAAAAAAAAGAGAGTTAATTGAGAAAAAGAAGATTCGTAAAAAGAGTGAGAGACATTTTAAATATTTAGATACAAAGAGGCACATTTTGATTCTTTCATTTGTCAAGGGTCTTTCCTCACTCTTCCTTTTAAACAATACAAAAGATAATCCATAGAATTTGTTAATTGGGTCAAATCTAACACTGTACTTAATCATAAAATTCCAAAACCTGCTTAAGGATAAAAAGGAAGCCTTCGACTAGAGCTATGAGGACATGCCGAGCATAGACAGATCTATAGCAAAGCATACCATTCCTTTGTTTCTTGGGGTTAAGCCAATGAAACAGAAAAGAAGAAGGTTGAGACCGGAGTGGGCAGAAAAAGATTAAAGAGGAAGTGACTGTACAGATTAACACTGTATTTCTGGAGGTGGTTCACTATCCAGATTGGCTTGCTAACATCATTATAGTTCCTAAGAAGGATGGAAGGGTCAAAATGTGCGTGGATTATAAGGATTTAAACAACCAACGGATGACTTTTCACTCCCTCACATTGATATCTTAATTGACAGTGCAACTATGATGGGATGCTACTCGATCATGGATGGATTTGCGGGTTATAATCAGATTCTTATGGCATTATTGTATAAGACCAAGACTGCTTTTGTTACAAAGTTCTTGTTACAAAGTTCGAGACTTTTTATTACTAGGTAATGTTGTTTGGCTTAAAGAATGTTGGAGCTACTGATCAAAGGATGGATACTACTTTGTTTTATGAAATGATCCATAAGGAGATAGAAGTTTACATTGATGACATGATTATCATGATAAAGACACTAGAAGAGCATCCAACAACTCTGGAGTGGTTCATAGGTAGAGTAATCAAATACAAGCTACTGTTGAATCGGAAAAAGTGTGCCTTCGGGGTAACTTCAAGTAAAGTGTTGGCATTTATTGTCGGTCCAAAAGGCATAGAAATTGATCCGGTTAGAATCAAGGCAATTCAAAAAAATGGAGCTGCCTAAGACGAAAAAGCAAGTGAGAAGTTTTTTGGAAAAAATACAATATATCAGTATGTTCATATTAAAGTTATCTATCGCATGTGATCCAATCTTTAAGCTATTAAAGAAAAGATAAGTTGACCAAATGGAATGATCACTACCATATAGCTTTTGATAAGATCAAGGATTATTTATTAAGTCCCCAAGTTTTATGCCCACCTAAAATTGGGAACCCGTTAATCTTATACTTGACAGTGTAAGATGCCGAAATTAGCCCCATGTTGGCACAGGTTGATGAAGCAAGAGTCTAAAAGGCAATTTATTACTTCAACAAGAAGCTTCTTCCAAATGAACAGAAATATAACTTAATCGAAAGAACTTGCTTAGCTATGGTTTTGGCAACTAGAAAACTTCGTCATTACTTTCAGTCGTACAAGGTGATAGCAGTCTCAAGAATGAACCCGATGAAGTATTTGTATGGAACACCAGCATTGGTGGGAAAACTAGTAAGATGGTTAATCCTATCATCTGAGTTTGATATAGAATATGCTATCACCGACTTCCTGGCAACACATCCAATCAAAGACAATGAACAATGGAAAATCGACTTCCCTAATGAACACTTGAACTTAATAGAAAAGAAAGAATGGAAGCTCTAATTTGACGGGTCAGCTTATGCTAAAGGGTCAAGAGTAAGCATCTTGTTAGAATCTCCACATGATGAAGTTATCTCGATGTTGAAAATGGCTTCGATTTGTAGTTACGAATAACATGGCAAAATATAAAGCTTGCTTATTTGGTGCCATGGGATCTTCCTAAGGTGGTTAAATCTTAAAAATAAAAAGTGTGGGTTTGCTACCAGATTACAGGTCTCGATAGGCTATACACTAGATGGAGGTGAATTGTGATTTATAAAAATTAGGCCTTAAAGACCTTTTTCAGAAACAGTAGAAGCAATAAAATTTTCAATGAATATCCAGATTATAAAAGTATTTAAATTACTTCATCATATAAGCAATTTAGCATATTCATCAAATTATCAAATTTGGAAATCCACCTGATTCTAGCTCACTGAAAATAGAGCTATAGACACAATTTTTTCCCCAAAAGGACTCAGTGATGATAACCTTTTTCGTGATAAAATGAATTTGAGACATCTGATGAATTTGATTATCAGACCAATGATCCGGGTTTAAGGAATGTAACCCGTCAGGTCATTTTCATGTTTTGAGGGTTCACATCGAAATAGGGCCTAGAAACGCGTCTCAGGTATGCCCGTAACACGTCCTGCTGCACTGTCTCATCTTGCATGCCACTCGGGCTGATTTCGTGAAAATATCACCCGGCTCGATTTTTGGGGCCCACCAGTGGCAGTTGCCACCTAAGCCCTAAATATTAGGGTAACATTCTACATTTGCCTATAAATATGGCATTGTGGAATGTTAAATCGCCATTCTTAAGTCTGGTTGTGAGGGAAACTTGGGATCAACCTAAAGAGGGCATTCCATGTTGAAGTGGTGCATTGAAGGCAGTAGTGACGCAAGCCACTACATGTGGCGTGCGGCACTAGCAAAAGCCCTACGCAACTTCTTTCCAAATGCCTTCTTTTGCTTATTTTTTGAGTTTTCTAATCAGGGCAAGGTCTGTACGCCACTATGTGTGGCGCATGCCACTTCGATTGGTGCATGGACCTTCATTTCAGAATCTCAGCCCCTTAAAATAAATAACTATGCTTTGATTCTAGCATCTAGTCGAGTTAAGGAGCATCCTTGCTTAAAGTATGTATACAACTCATTTTTGGCCTGGATGAGCAAATAAAGAATGAAAATGGGTAATGAGA